GGGTGACGGGGGAGGAACCCGGGAGGCAGGAGCGCTGCCCCGGGGCACCAGACTAAGGAGGTAGGGGCCAGGGTTCTCGGAGAGACCAGTCTCGGAAGGGTGCACCCAGAGGTTGCAGGTGACGGTCTGAAGACAAGATGCCTAGAGGGGTGAGATGGAAAGTGGGAGCTTAGGACCGGGGAGGGGGAGAGGAGAACAGGAGGCTGGGGAGGAAGGGCACTCGGGCTAGGAGGGAGGGTGCTCTCAGCCTAGGAGGGAGGAGCTGGGGAAAGGTGGAGCGCGGAGCGGAGTGGTGGTGATGAACAGTTGGGGGAGCAGGGAGAGGAGGGGGGCGTGTTTGGGGAGGAGAGTAGTGTGTGCACTGCTGTCTTCAAAATCGACAGTGCCAGCCGAGTGGTTTCGCCGCGGTCCCACGGGAGACTGTCTGGCCAGCGGAGATTGGGAGAAACGGTTAGGGAAACTCCACCAGGATCCACCCAGACCGGAGGACGGCATCCGAGACCCGCTTCAGGGGCTGAGGACTAGGGACCAGGCTGAGAGAGCAAGGGGTCACAAAGTAGAAAATGGGGAGAACTTGAACCAAGTCCGGGACAGAGAGGGTTGGGCAGACATGGAGGTTGCAGGGGGTGAGGCTGGGCGGAGACTCGGGAGGGGTTCCATGGGAAAGAATGGCCTTAGGTTTGGACTTCTCTCCCAGACTTCTCCCACCGTCTCTCTCTTTGCTCATGGGTGCATGTACTCCTGGGCCTTACCCACCCACCTCTGCTCCTGAGATCCCCCTCCCGTCCTGGAACAAAAATCCAGGAGGCTAGTCCGTGCGCTGTGATCTTTCTGCAAACTCCCATGGGCTCCCACTTCCGTCTGCCAGCCCTGTAGGGAAAAGGGCAGATGCAAGCTACATTTCTCCCCAGTCCAAGCTTCCCTTGTCAGCCAAGTTGCAGAACATAGCTGGGAGAGAGTCTGAGAAGAGAAGGCCAATGAATGGCCCTCGTGGACAGGACAAGATCCCTGGCTATGGAGGATTGGTGACACCTGTAGAATCAGGACACAGCGACCCAAGGCAGGCTTTAACAGGATGCAACAGGGATGTCCTCAGCTTTTACAGATGGTTAGAGTGAGGTCTGGACCAGTGGAGATAGGAAGGATCTGGAGGTCCTGTAACCCAAGATGCAAATAGCTTTTCTAATACCTGGACGCTCACTGACGGCAAGTGGCTTAGGAGCAGAGTGTGTGTGCCTCTGCGTGTGCAAGAATGGGCTTTGAGAACTACAATCCACGTGTGTAGGATATGAAGGAGCAATGCACAGGTGAGAATGTAAGAGAAGTTAGACGAACCTTGTGCCCATGACAGACCCTGACCCTTTCTCAGGACTCAACTCAACTCTCAGTCGCCAACACTAGCTGTCTGGAAGCAACAGAGGGACTGTACTGGGCCCTCTTTTGGCTCCAGGCCCACTAGTAGGCTCAGAAGAAGAAATACCCAGGCCAGCTGTGATGTACCAGGAGGGCTGACCATGCAGGGTGCCCAGTGGGACCTCATTTCACTATGAAATGAAAGGGTTCAGAGTTTCAGGTCCAGCTGCATTCCAGCCCCAGTGGCCTTGGAGGTCTACTGGTAACCAGGATGTAACCAGGATTTGCCTGTGGAGCCTGCAGCTGGCCCCTCTGAACCGGACACTGGGTTTATTCCATCCGGCTCAGTGCAACTCCAACCTGGGGCAGGGGGAGCAGGTGCCCAGTCCTATTCCACCCCTCTCCCCTTCCCATCTTCCTAGATCTTTTCAGTCTTCTGGATGCCTTGGGACCCTTGGAAACACCACAGGTGACCAAATGACCCTAACCACCTTGTACAAATACCCCCCAAAAAACCCCTGACCCCCCATGAGGAGAGGGTTTATTTACTTTTCAGGTTGTCTCCACATACTTCGGTGCTCCAGCATTCTGCTCTCTCTTCCCGTGCACCTGGCCTGAGAAGGAGCAGGGCATCCAGAAGAACACCATAATAAAGGCAGTGGTTTATTTTATGTATGTTTTGCTTCTTTATATGTATGTTTGCTACATGTGTGCCTGTTGCTGCTGAGGTTGGGAGAGGCTTTGGATCCCCTGGAACGAGAGCTATGCATGGTTGTGAGCCACTGTGTTGGCGCTGGGAACCAAACCTAGGCCCTCTACAAGAACAGCAAGTGTTCTAAACCACTGAGCTATTGCTCCAGCCCTGCCTGCATTTTTTGAAGGCTGGGAAGACCTTCCCTCAGAAAAATCTTCACACCTGTAAATTCAAAGAGCTTACTGAGTCCCATCTCTGTCCCCTGGGAAGTCCCTGAAGTTTTACTGCCAAGGAAGCAGATGCCCAGAAAAGGAACATGCCTTCACCACATTCATACATTAATTTGTGGTAGTGCTTGAAAAGTGTAGAAAACCAGAGGCTGAAAATGTCTAGCAGTAATCCCAACACACACACACACACACACACACACACACACACACACTGGGGGTGGGGCATGTGACTGGGCATGTTTCCAGGGAGAGTTGCCCTCTGAAGGGATGCTGTAGGCAGGTCCAATCTGATTCTGGGCAGCTGGTACCCAGAGGCAAGAAGCTGGAATAAAATCTCCCCTTGTGAAGAGCCCTGAACAGACTGACCTCTGGGTTGCATCAAACCTCAGTGTGGGGCAGGGGACTAGTGCTGTCCTTTCTGGTCTCTGCCCAAGTCTAAGCCTCAGGTCCTCCCAAAGGTGACCTAGGGTAGGGTGCCATGCTGCTCCCTGCCCTTCTCTTCGGGATGCTGTGGGCTCTGACTCATGGGTAAGCAGTTCAGGGGGCTCTCCCAATAAGATTCTTCTTCCTGCCTGTGCCTAGGCGCCCTCTGGGATGCCAGACTCTTCTTTCAGCACTTCAATCCATCCTTAACCTCCTCGCTTCAAGTACCTCTGCCAGCAGTCCTTGGTGGCTTGGATTCATAGTATAGAGCTTCTTGGTGACAGAGGGGACAATGCTGG